TCGCACAGCCGCGTGATCTCGCAGGCTGACGAAGAAGCAAAGGCAGCCGCTCGACCCGCCACCTCTTCCGATCACGGAAGCTCGATCCACGTCTGCGACTCGCGGGAGGGAGTTACCGTGCGACTTGGGGGTGAACATATAGAGGCTCGGCCGTGCCCTAGTCCAATCCGAGTCTTCTTAAGATTCGGTCGGTTCGGCCGTGCCCTAGTTCAATCCGAGTCTTCTTAAGATTCGGCCGGTTCAGCTTATTTACGAAAAAAAAAAAATTAAAAAAACAACTTTTCGACCTTTATTGTCGAACAAAGAAAATTTCTAGGAAGCCTTAATTGCTTTCCAATGTCAGAAATTAACTCCTCTCAAAGTGTTGATCAAACTGAGGAATCGCTGGTGCACCAAGGACGAGGTGACCTTCAAAGCATGCAACCTTCCTATCGTCTAAATGGGAAGAACTACCTGAAGTGGTCTCAATTTGTGAAGACCTACTTGAAAGGGAAAGGTAAAATACATCATCTCCTTGGAGGAGGACCGAAAGAAGGAGATCCCAAATTTGGGGCATGGGATGAAGCAGACTCCATGATTATGTCATGGATGTGGAATTCCATGACTCCAGAAATTAGTGACACATTTATGTTCCTTTCAACGGCAAAGGACATATGGGATGCGGCCAGACAAACTTACTCCAAAGCTCGTGACGCGGCCCAAATCTTTGAAGTTAAAGTCAAAGTTGGAAGCACGAAGCAGGGGAGTAAAACTGTGACGGAATATGCCACCATTCTACAAAATCTGTGGCAAGAACTTGATCACTATAGGTGCATTGAAACCAGATGTCCGGAGGATGCTGCGATCCTAAAGAACTTCATTGAAAAAGATAGAGTTTATGATTTTCTTGCAGGACTCAATGCAGAATTTGATCAAGTTAGAGTTCAGATCCTCGGCAAGGAAGAGACGCCATCACTCAACGAAACCATTTCTCTCATTCGCGCAGAAGAAAGTCGACGAGGAGTAATGTTAGAACCAAAGACAGTTGAAAGCTCAGCAATGGTGATGAACAAAGAATCATCATGGAAGGAGAAGGGAAAAGATACTTCAAAGTTCAAAGACAAGGACTCACTTTGGTGCAGCTATTGCAAAAAGTCAAGACACACAAAGGAAACGTGCTGGAAAATACATGGTAAACCCCCCAGCAAGGAGTGGAATCAAAAGCTTGAAACAAGGAACACATCACATGCTAACAACACTACAAGTAAGCCAGAAGCACGGTCCAGTCTTGGAGAATTCAACAAAGAAGATATTGACAAATTAAAACAACTCCTGGTATCTCTTGAAAAACCAAATGCTTCTTCTTCACTTGCACTCTCAGGTAAGACTCCAATTTCTTTCAGTTTAAGTGCTTCTAGAAATCATCTAAAGGAATTATGGATAATTGATTCAGGAGCCACAGATCACATGACCCACTCATCTACCCACCTCATAAACTACACTCCTTGCCCAAACAATAAGAAAATCATCACTGCTGATGGTTCTCTTACCACGGTAGCTGGTCAAGGAGACATCATATTATCTCCCTTACTCACCCTGAAAAACGTCCTCCACGTACCACAATTATCCACAAATCTAATATCAATACAAAAACTTACCAATGATCATAATTGTCAAGCCTTATTTAACCCTACTTATTGCTTATTTCAGGACCAGAGATCGGGGAAGAAGATTGGACTTGCTAAGGAGAAAGCTGGATTGTACTACCTGGAAGAACCAAACCAATTTAGTAATAATTACTCCATGTTATCCCTAGTAGATAGGAATTCCACTATTTGGCTTCATCATTATAGACTAGGACATCCGTCTTTTGATATCCTAAGACATATGTATCCACAACTGTTTCAGAAAATAGAAACTAAAAATTTTCATTGTGAAACTTGTGAGTTAGCTAAACATAAAAGAACCTCATTCCCAAACAAAAGTGAGAGATGTAACACTCCTTTCTACCTTATTCATAGTGATATATGGGGACCCTCAAAAATCCCCAATATCTCCGGGGCACGCTGGTTTGTGTCTTTTATTGATGATTGCACTAGAGTCTCTTGGATCTATCTCCTTAAAAATAAATCTGATGTTAGCACCATTCTTCCCGTCTTTCATTCCATGATCCAAAATCAATTTGGGGTAAAAATACGGAGATTCCGCTCTGATAATGCCAAAGATTATTTCAACCAAACCCTTTTCTCATACTTCCAGAATGAAGGGATCATCCATGAGTCCTCATGTGTTCACACCCCACAACAAAATGGGGTTGCAGAGAGGAAAAATGGTCACCTTCTAGCCACCACTCGAGCCTTCCTATTTCACTACAATACACCCAAATCCTATTGGGGGGAAGCTCTTTTAACTGCAACCTATCTCATAAACCGATTACCTTCAACTGCTTTAGGCCTCAAATCTCCAATGGAGACCTTGTCCTCTTTTTACCCAGAGTTTCGAACCCATCATAATATTGCACCCAAAGTCTTTGGATGCACTGCCTATGTTCATATCCACAGCCATGAGCGAGGAAAATTAGATCCAAGAGCACTCAAATGCATCTTTGTTGGTTATTCAGCAACCCAAAAAGGTTATAAGTGTTATCATCCTCCCACAAGAAAAACCTTTGTTTCTATTGATGTTACCTTTGATGAGAAAAATTCCTACTTCTCAAAAACTCATCTTCAGGGGGAGACTGAACTTGAGGAAGATGAGGAAATTGAACTAGCACCTCTTGACATTCCTCCACCACCTCAAAATAATCCACCTGAAACCCATGAAAGGGAAACAAATGACAACGTTATTAGATTTGGAAAGGTTTACTCCAGACGTACAAGCTCAAGCTGTACTCCAAAGCAGATCCAAGAATCTGAACCATCTCCTGGAAATAAGGTAAGCTCACCACCTCCCTTATACCCTATAAACAACTCTATATCTTTCAACAATTTTTCATCGTCACACCAAAATTTTCTTGTTTCATTAGAAGATATCCGTATTCCTAAAGATGTTTTTGAGGCCTTATCTGATAAAAATTGGAGAAATGCCATGAAAGATGAAATGCAGGCTCTGGAGAAGAACGAAACATGGGAGATCGTCAATCTACCGATAGGGAAAAAATCGGTTGGCTGCAAATGGGTGTTCTCAGTAAAATACAAAGCTGATGGCACACTGGAGAGATATAAGGCAAGACTAGTGGCAAAAGGGTTTACTCAAACGTATGGCATTGACTACCAAGAAACGTTTGCACCTGTGGCCAAGATGAATACTGTCCGAATACTACTCTCACTAGCAGCCAAGTACAATTGGCACCTGGAACAACTGGATGTGAAAAATGCATTCCTACATGGAGACTTAGAAGAAGAGATATTTATGGAAATACCACCAGGCTTTAAAGGGAAATCTGAAGGTAACAAGGTGTGCAAACTGAAAAAGGCTCTATATGGGCTCAAACAATCACCAAGGGCATGGTTCGGAAAATTCTCCAAATTCATGCTCTTGAATGGATATCAACAGAGTCAAGGAGATCATACACTATTCTTCAAACACTCAGACTCAGGGGGAGTCACAATATTATTAGTGTATGTTGATGATATTATTTTGACTGGAAGTAATGAAGAGGAGAAAGCCAGTTTAAGGAAAAATCTGGCTAAGGAATTTGACATCAAAGAACTTGGTAGACTAAAATATTTTCTCGGAATTGAAGTAGCTCACTCCAGCAAAGGAATCTTCATTTCACAACAGAAATACATCAAAGATCTTCTAAAAGAAACAGGTAAACTTGCCTGTAAACCAGCACCAACACCAGTAGAACCTAATCTTAAACTGGGAGAAGCTAAAGAAGATCCAGATGTAGATAAAGGAGCCTACCAGAGACTTGTAGGGAAATTGATCTACCTCTCCCACACTAGACCAGACATAGCATTTGCTGTAAGCATGGTCAGTCAGTTTATGCAGAATCCAAAGCAGATTCACATGCAAGCAGTAGACAGGATATTGCACTACCTTAAAGGGAGACCAGGAAAAGGAATTCTCTTTAAGAGAAGCACATAGAAGTGGACCGACATTTTATTAAAGAAAAACTAGACAGTGGTCTAGTAAGTGTTGACCATGTATCATCAAAGGATCAACTTGCAGATTTTCTTACTAAAGGATTGGACAGTGCTGTCTTCCTCCGTATGATTGACAAGCTGGGAATGACGGATCCATATTTCCCAGCTTGAGGGGGAGTGTTGAAATCCAGCCGTTCCTAGTACAAAGAATCCGACGGACACAAAGATCAATCCGTGGGATACTCTCATGGATCACGCCATAATGAGGGAACGAATTTAGGAAAGATTTTATTCTCTTATTTGTGTATTAATTCTGCAATTTATTATTTCCGCATTTGGACTCTTGTATAGATCTATAAATAGGGAAGATTGTGATGAATAAGAACAAGCTTTTCCCTCTCAAATTCTCTAGTTTTAACAATTACGAAGGAAGATAGATGGACCAAAGGCAAATATGGATATAGGTTGATAAAAAAGAATCTGCACTTAAAAGGTTTAATAATTTAATGCAACACTCAACAAAAATAAATGAAAAATCAGGATTCATAAAGACTAATATGGATTAGAATTTGAAGACAGTGCCAACCATGGGTCATGGAAGATAGGTCCAAGACCAAAAATTGATATAACACATAAAGATGCCATAGAAACAGTCCCAACAATGAAATAGGCCCCAGTTTAACATAACAGGGTGCAGAAGATTTCTAGAAAAAGGATGGGTAGGTTTTGCACAGTTGATCTCTCCAACACTAGTATGCCATTTTCAGCATAAGAGATTTTCTCATAGCAAAACTTAAAATTGACATCAGCAATATCAAATGCATTTCTAGTTAATCTAGCGCGTCCAATGATAATGCCTCGATTAGCTATTCAAAAGTACAGCAAGAAGCTTAGCTTCCCACAGTTCCATGATTCCATCAGTGAGTTGCAAAAAGAAGAGGAAGGCTACTGGTCATAAAGAATAATAAGGTCACGCAAGTATGAATTCTTACACATTCGACTTACTGATTCGATAAGTTGGTTGACATTAAGAACATCCACTGAATTTTTAGATTCTACAGTATTATGGTCTAAGTGACCTTTGTATGCCTCAAAAAATGGTTCATCTTCTTGGAGAGCAGGAACCAAAACCTACAAATGAATTTATGAAATATCCTTCAAATATAATCATAATGGAATGATATGATCAAAAGTTTTGTGTTTGCGTTAGAAAAGGACCTCATCAAAAGTTTCATTTTCCTTTTGATCAGATGGAGACAAAACAATGGGTGTATCCATGAACGCTGGAGTTCCAAGAGGAAAGACATCAGATGAAAATTCTTGTTGGAGTTGTTCCGTAATGCTCATTAACTCTTGCTGCCACCAAAAAAGAACGACTTCAATTATCTCCTTTAATATGAAATCCAATATAACCAGGAAAACTTAATAGATCGAAATCATATAAAATAGCCACAGTGCATTCTTACCTCAGGTAATCTTTTATACTTCTTCAATAAATGAGATAAGACAGTTTCTCTTAATTGATCATCATTACTCTTAATGGACTCTATGAACTTCAACGCAGCAAACTTATCTTCTTCGGACCCATAGATTACCTTCCTAGAAGGATATCTTACACAAACTGCCAAAAGTCTGCCATCTTCGACAAGATGAAGGTAAGGATCAGCCTGCAACAGGTCTCACTAAATAAACGGGGCAAGTTTAACAAAGACAAAACCAAATACAAGAAGAGCTGTAAGAAAGGGACGCATAAGGTCTTCGCAATTAATGTATCGTGGCATATATTGCAGGTATTTTAATCATATAAAGCAGGGATTCCAGGCAAAAGTTGCATACCATTTCACCTGCGGTATGTGCTTCAATGAAAAAAGCTAAATCTGGAAGATCTCCTAATTTTGCTGACAAGATGAGCATGGATGATGATAATGTATACAGAGACCTTCTATGAGATGGCTGCAAGTGATCTATTGTAAACAATAATGTCAGAATAAGCAATTATTAACTACAACTTTTATTAGAATGCACCCAACAACTTCAGTGATGACTCTCACTATAATGAAAGCATTATCTATATAGAAACATGCATATATGGGCATGATACGAAGAGATCTACACAAATTCTTTGATTTGACACTAAATAGAAGAAATAGCATTAAGGTAATATTCTGTAATGAAAGTAGAACATAGTAAAAAATAATTTCATTAATCTGAGCTGCTTAACCAGGTGCCACACTTTGATTGTCATAACCCTCACGGATCATGATCATGTCTCTCCAGATATAAAGTGAAACAAGAATCTCGCTATGAAACGCCACAACCCAAATTTCACAGATACCATTGTGCCTGGCAGTGATTGCAGTAACAGCTCATAGAAAATTCAAGGAGAAAAGTCGAAAAGATGACGAGAGTTGAAAGATTACAAACAGAAAAGTAGTAATTAGAGGTAATAAAAAAAATAGCTCGATCTAATTACATTATTTTAATCACTACATTAGCAATGGACAAATTTTGAAAAAAAAAATGTGTTTTTTTATTATGAAATGAGGTTTTTTAAATAAAGCATGATTTTATAATCAGAAAAGGATACCAAAACACCAATGGATAATCACAAAAGATTTGCTAGTGAAAAAAAAAATGTTAGACAAAATAATAATAACATGATGACCGAGGATGAAAAATAATTCAGATCATGATAACCGCAAAAACAATCATTTGAAATGCCTTATTTAAAGGCCCCGTGAATATAGAGAAGTGACGGTAATTTTTTTTCTTATTTCTACTTGAATTATGGAGGTCAACCTTAGAGTCTAAAAGTTTCTGCTTGAGTAGAACTAAAACGGAATATATAGAGTGTAATTTTAGTAATAATAGACCTAGTGAGGGGATTGTGACTTTGGGCGATCAAGTCATTAATAAGAGTACACGTTTTAGATACCTTGGATCTATTGTTCAGAGTGATGGTGAAATAGATGGGGATATTATCAGCAAAATTCAAGTTGGATGGTTGAAGTGGAGGAATGCATCGGGCTTGTTGTGTGATAGAAAAGTACCCCTCAAACTAAAGGGAAAATTCTATAAGATGGTGGTGAGGCCTACAATGCTTTATGGTGCCGAATGTTGGCCATTAAAAGAGAAGCATACTACTAAGTTAAGTGTGGCAAAGATGAGGATGCTCAGGTGGATGAGTGGCTTTACCTTTAGAGATAGGATATGAAATGAGCATATACGCGAGAAAGTTGGAGTAGCTCCAGTAGAAGATAAGATTATAGAGAGTCGCCTTAGATGGTTTGGTCACATAAAATAACGGCCTTTCGATGACCCGGTTAGAAAAGTAGAGGTATTAGATTTGACTTATCTTAAGAAAGGTAGAGGTATACCTAAAAAGACTTGGTTAGAAAATATTAAAAATGTTTTCTTTATTAGATTTAAACGAGAATTTGACTTTTAATAGGACACAATGGAGAAAAAGGATTCATGTAGCCGACCCCACGCAGTGGGATAAAGGCTTGATGTTGTTGTTGTTGTTGTTGTTCTACCTTGCCTCCCATCCACCATAGTGTTAATACTTAAAATGCTTCTATCTAAATCATAAGGCTGTCGTAAAAAGACAAGAGTTTGGTGTAATCTACTTTTATATATGGTCTTATAATAATATGACAATGATGAATATGTTCAATTCGGAAGTTACCAACTAAGTATAAATTTGATATGAATTTGCAAATAACTCCAAGTTAGAGTTGCTAAAGGAGAATTAGCCAACTATAAAAAACAGAGTAGATAAACAAGCTCATAGGTCATCTTCAGTGAAAATGAGTATAAGTTCGCCTTGAAATCTATATGCTTGCTTATGCTGAGGTTGAGTGAATCTTGTTAGAAAAATAAGGTGTGGTGGTTGGATAAAGATTGATGCATTTTTAAAATCTTGCAAGCCTCCAACAACATTTGCAAAGGATCAAAAAGCGTGATAGAAGACACAATATCGGACAATATGAAAGCAATAGAAGAAGCATCTGCAAAGTTAGGGGCTACTAAAATAGGAGACAACCACGATAGTGGCTGAATTGGGGGTTCAACCAAAACCATAAGTGCAACTAATGTGGGGGGAAAATGAGGAAGATTTGGGATAAAAAAGAAGCAAAATAGGCACCAAGGTTTGCTCGGTGGTAATGAGAATAAGAAGTAATTGATATATATTTTATGCTAGGAAATATAAAGGTCATTTGGAAGGGAGAGAAGCAGTTAAAAAGCAAGAAAAATGGCAGGGACATAGTCCTAGATGGCTCCCCAACAAACATCAAAAGCAACTGCAACAGAACTTACCCTTAGAGAACGACAAAAAGAACTATGCAAGCGTCCCTTGCTCATGGGCACAACGAGAGATGGGGAATGCAAGAACAATTTTTGGATTGGGTGGGATGAAGAAAAGAGCATGCTCCCAAGAATGCCTTGCACAAGAGTGCAAGAGCTCCACACACATGCACCTACTTTTGGCTGATGAATATTCTATTTTCTTTGATAAGAGTTCCACACAGGCTGTGTTTATTTTGGGCAAAACCTTACAAGTTGATACTATTATCACTTATATTGCACGATCTTTTATGGCAAGGGTTTTGATGGAAATGGGCTAGGCTTATTAAATCGGGCTAACAGGTTGGGTTTAGTTCTAATTCAAAGTTAACTCAACCCGAATCTTCTTAACCCAAACTTGAACTAATTTATTATATGGTAAAAATATTTTACCTAAACCCAACTTGACCCAAAATCCACCTAACCCAATATAGTTTGTGTCATAATAGCTTAATAGCCTGATGCTGATAAAAACATTTATTTTATTAAGCATTCACCTTCATTATTTAATAGTTTTACTTTAATTTAGGTTTGTATTTATAATAATTCACTTAATGACAAAATAAATCAACATAAGAAATGTAATCTCATATATACTTGTGCTATTAAAATACCATCACAATAAACTTTAGTAGTAACTTTCACTATCATTTTCAGTAGGATTAATTGGACTACTTTTCAATAATTGAGGGACTAAATTGGACAAGTTTAGGATTAAATTGAACACAAACTAATAGCCGGGGGACTATTTTGACATTTTTTTTCTCATTTTCACTTGCATAGAATTTCTAGGGCATTAGAGTTTTGATCAGCCTAAGTAACATGGACCTGTCTGAGATTTATAGGGTAATGGTTGAACGAAATAATTTCCAAAGAAAGAATAATCAATGTTGAGAAAAGTAAGAAGTGGATGCCTAATGTGTGTGGAAATGCCTACACGGTGGTACCTTTCAGTAATGCACAAAAAAATAGTTTGTGCCATTCAGCCTCAAAATGTAGATTTGAAACAACAGCATAGAAAAATATTCCACGAGTAATGCAAACAATGTTGAGACAATGGAACGGATTGCTGTAACAACAGAAGAGAATAGTATTCCTCAAGGTGTAAAGCAAGCAATTTTAAGACCATGGAGTGGACTACCGTAAAATTAAGGAATAAATTCTCCACCATTACTCTTCAGATCTGAATTTCTTTGTACTTACACAACAGGTGATACTTGCATGCATAATTATTATCTTTCATCTAAATGCTTTCCTCAAGTTTCCAGGTGATCTTCTCTCCTGTGGGCTCCGAAAATTCGGCCCCGGCCTCCGCCCGCATGCTTTTCTTAGAGGGAGTGTTATGTCAGAAAACTCATTGATTAAAGGTTGTATTTCTTTAGGAATTTGAAAGGTTGGTTCAGTCTTTTCCTAGCACCAGATATGCTACCTTAGATTGTTTCAATTCATTTGTGTTAAGAAGCAATTCAGGAGTGGTTGTTTTTGCAGATTTGCTATTTTAGGCAGGTGGGTCAGAAATGTGTTTTTGAGGATAAAGAGTGAATTCTTTATTATTTTGAATCAAAGTGTAGGTATTCTTTTCCCCGTTATGAATTGTTTTATGATTGAATTGTCAGGGACGACCCAATAAGATGTGGCAAACTTCAAGAGGCACAATATCACAAATAACTTGATCCTTGTAAGAACTCCCAATTGTTAGATTAACAGTGCATTGCTTTGTTATAGGAACCTCACCCCCTTCCTTGAACCAAGAAATTTTATAAGGTTTGGCAAGTGGTTTTGATTTCAATTTGAGCTTATCTACCATCAGTTGTGAAACAAAATTACATGAACTCCCACTTTCGATCATTAAAGTGCAAAGTTTTCCCTCAACAGTGCATATGGTTCGAAAAATGTTTCTTCTAAGCCACTTATCCTTGTTTTCCATTTTGGCAGTTAAGACTTGTTGGATTACTAAAAGTTGTTCACCTTCATCGCCCTCTACATCAACATTTTCCAACTCGATTCCATTTTCAGGTTCAGTTTCATTTTCTTCTTCTTCTATTTCTTCATTATTTTCAATGTAGGTATTTCTTGGAGGGTTGTTTTTTGACAGGCAGCTAAAAGATGACCATATAGCCCACATTTGTAACATGGTCCAATCAGTTTTGGTTGTTTAATAGGTTTGGGTCCCATTAATCCCTTACCCTTATCCAAAGTTTGAGTTTCAAATGTTTTAGTTCGCACACCAGATGTTCCTACAGAAGTTTGTGAAGATTAAGTTTTAATCCTGCTAGTTTTCCATTGCTTATAAGTTTCAGTTACTTTGTTATGACCCCATTAATGTTGCTTTTCAATTTTTAGAGCCATCTGATAAGCCTCATCGAGTTTAATTACATGGTGCAAATTTAGTTGATCTTGAATTGTCAACTTTAATCCGTTGATGTACCTAGTGATAGTTCTTTCCTCATATTCATGTAAATCGTTTCGAGATTGGAGTTTATAGAAAATTTCGGTGTATTCTTCAACCGTTTGATTTCCTGGACGAAGGTTGTTAAATTCTTGAAATATGGTTCGTGCGTGGTCTGAAGACAGAAATTTCCCTCTTATTTTCTCTTTTATCCTTTCCCAGTTTTCGAATTTTTCTTTTCCTCGCCTTAGCCTATTGTTTTGAAGGTTCTTCCACCATGTTAATGCATGACTAGTGAGTTTTAAGCTAACAAATTTAACATTCATATTATCAGGTATTTCCTTCAATTCAAAAAACTGATCCATCTTTTCTACCCATTCAATGAATTGGTCGGGTTGTAGTTTACCTTCAAAGTTATGGACATCGATTTTAATCCCATAATCCAAATTTCTTTGACGCCTATTTTGATTTCTAGGGACTTCCACCTCACTTTTAGAAGTTTGAATGTTAGGGTTGTTGACATTCAAATTTGCAAGAGTATTAGCCATGTTGTTTATTTGGTGTTGCAAATCCGCTAATTGTTTCATCATCTGTTGTCAATCCCCTTGATTATTTTGATTAACCATTTGTGATTTTAAGAAAAGACACACACCAACCTAGGCTCTGATACCAAACTTGATGCGGACAACTACATAGGAAGAGCCAAGGTATTTTAAAATTGTTAAGTTGAAAATATAAATCTGAACATAAATACATAATAAACGTTCTTAACATAGTCTCGGAGGGGGGGGGGTTGCTTGTTCAACTCCAGCATGTCTGCCTTAATTTCAAATGATGTAACTGATGTATGTGCTAAGGAAAGGCAGGATATTTCTTCTCATTTATTTGGCAAACCAGTAAGAATGGCCACTTTATCAGCAATGAAAGGAATAGACTGACCTTTTAGAATAAAACATTGCTTTGAAGTATTCCACCTTGAGATCAGCTTATAAATAAGTGGGACATTTTACACAAAATAAGGAAATTGCAAAAATTGTATGATCTTTAAACGGTTCAATCTGTCCACAACTTCAGGAGAAATTTGCTGAGCAAATTATCACAGATTGTTCGAAAAGTCGAAACATAGCATCGATAAGTAATAGGACAAACACATATTTGAAAAATAAAAATTAAAAATATATAAAATAAGTAGTGCATAACATACGCATAGAGTATGCACAACATACGCATAGAGTACGTACAACATACGCACAAGTATGCACATTATACACACAACATACGCATAGAGTAGTTAGTGCTTATGTACAGCGTACGCACATCCTTCGCGCAAAATTGGCACAAACTACTCTATTTTAAAAGTTTGTTAGGGTTTAATTGTTAAAAACTTAAAATTTAGTTTGGGTTTAGATTTCAAATTTCAAAATAAACCCTAAATACACAGAAAATACGATGGTATCAAAATATCAAACATTTAAAAAATTTCGAGAAGGAACGCATACACATAGCGTAAGCATAAAATACGAAGAACTTCAAAACCTTGAACACGTATGCATAGCATAAGCATAAAATACGCATATTTTGAACATAAAACATGCCAGCAAATTACCTTTCTCTTTGGGGGTGACGACATCTGAGAAAGAACTGAGTGAATGCTTGAAACGTATGCCGGAAGTTGAAAACCGAAACGCCTCGTGAACTATGAAATTTTTCTGCCATTTTACCTTTACCGGGGTTTAAATGTTGATGCCACATTGACATCTCACTAGGCAATCCACGTCGGCAATTGGGGGGTCCGAACTGAACAGAAATATCTTAGGTTAGTTTTTTTTAGAGGCAGCGCCTCAAAAATGTGAGGCGAGGTGCGCCTTAAGGCGCGCCTAAGTAAACTTGAGGCGTAAGCCTCAAAACCTGAACTTATTGCATGGGCTTTGAGGCTTAAAGGGGACATATTGCGTTGAGGCGCGCCTTTTATTGCGCAACTTTAAACCATGATGTTAATAATAACAACAATAATTACAATAAACACAATAATAATAATAATAATAATAATAATAAGGTAATAATAGTAATAACATTAATATTAATATTACAATCATATTATTATTATGTCATTATAATATTACTATTATACAACATTAACGATATCATTAATGATGATAATAAAGTAATATTATTATTATAAATATTAATATTAATATTAATGCTAGCAATAATTAACATTAATAAGAATAACAAGAATACACAAAAAAAAAAGATAGAGCGATTACACTCTGGATTCGGCCACATGCAATGGGTCGGGCTGGGTCTTCTGGCAAAGAGGATAGGATTAAGGAGGCTTTGAATAGCAGTGAACAAGAGCAGGAGGTAAATTTCGACAAAGGAAATAGAGGGGTCGGCTATGAGTCTTGGTCACAGGAGCTGAGGCCGACGGGAGGGGGGCGTTCAGTTTGGAGAGGAGGTATGGGGAAGAAGCTCTCTCTCTCTCTTTCTCCCTATTTTCTGGACCAAACGAACCCAAAGTTTGGGCAAGGGTCACGGTTTTGATAAGGTCGGAGATGGATCGGAGGAGGAAAAGCTTCGGTACAGAAGCAGTCGGGTAGAGGAGGAGATCAGGATTTTGGAGATGGGGCCGACGGGAGTTTGGCGGCACAGTGAGATGAGATCAGCCTAGGGATGGGTGGCTTCGTCTGTGTTGGGTGCAGGTAGAGGGGTTCGGATGGATGGGACGAGAGCTCGAATAGGTGAGTTTCGAGGTTCTGGCGACTCGACGGGAGTGGAAAAGTCGAAACAGAGGTAGGGGTTCAGGCTGCTCGTGGAGTCGGGGCGAGAAGCTCTGCATGGTTTGGAGAAGGGAGGAGGCGAAGAAGCTTGCGGAAAAAAGGTCGTGGAAGAAGAAGGAGGATCGGAAGGACTTGCGTGGGAGAAGAAGCGAGAGCCCAAGGGCTCTTCTCTTGTCACTTTTAACGACAGCGGGAGAAGCGTCGAGACAAAGCACTCAATCGAGGACTGCAAACGGTGCCGCTAGCAAGGCATGGGCGATTGTAGCCACGATTTTTTTTCAGGATTCGTGCAGGTATGCAATGATTCAAATCTTTTTTATTGTATTATTATTATTATTTTTTTTTTTTTTTCAAGTTGCAGAGGTCAACATCTCCAGGTTAGATTTTGCCAGTGATAAGTGAAATAGCTATCACTTGAGGACCTTAAAGACCAAAGTGAATCTAATTTGAGAAAGCAATAATCTTGCAGCCTTCATAACCAATATTTTCAAGAGGTTGTTAGATGGTATATGTAAATTCTTACTACTGATCTAAATTAAGTATATCTAACAAATTTATCTAAATTTCATTGTTGAAGTCTCGCTAGTTTTCTACACTAAAACATAATCTGAAGGAAGAAAACATGATTTTGGAGTTCTAACAGATTCCTTTTTATATTAAGTTCTCACAAAGGGTATTAGATTAAAAAAAAAATAGAAAATGATGCAGTAATGATAACAAAAAATAATTGATAGATGATACATTTCATTAAGTTGCAGAACAATATAATTAAGTTAAACCTTAAATACTTACAATCATTATTTTGAGAGATGCTCCTAAGAGAAAATGCCAGCTGGAAAGCTCGGACTAGAGACAGATGACTAGATGACTGTCAAAAATTAATCAGAGTTAAAAAAAATTAACCAATCATTTGAATCAGTCTACCCTTAAGGATGGATTGTAAACAAAGATATTGTATGCAAATGATGTAAGATTCTATTTCGACTAAGATTAGGATATAATAAAATTGAAAAAGTTTGAAAAAGTGCAGTTTAATAGCTTATGGTGGATGCCTAACGCTCTAGAAAGTCATAAAAAGATCGCCGTAAACTAAAAGTGGTTGTAACTTAGTAGTGGGAAGAATTTGCACATCGGTGGGGAATTATTTACCCTCCTAGACATGTTTAACTATAATAAACATTGGAACGGTCAATGTTCCTTTAAAGGCAATTACTCTGCTTCTACTAGCTAAATGTAGAAGCAGCTCATCAGACGCTTATACAATTGGCAACTTTACGGGTTGATTGCCAAGAGCACATTGCCCACAGGCACCAGAATCATAAACCACTAGCATTTAACAATTATAAAAGCCTAGTTTAACTGTAGAGAGCAGTAAATCAATACAGTAAAATTTTGGGTATCTGAAAGACAGACAGGGATAACATCAGTAAAATACTGATGATAATGTTGTAACCTGCGAGACGGCAAAGCCTCCTAATACTACAAGAAAAACATAAAGTTCAGTACCCTACAATACCCAAAAAGATTAATAAAAACTACAACATGTATCAAATCCGACAAATTTTCAATTACGCACATGGACCAATCACTATACAATTTAGAAGAAAGAAAAAAGGAATGAAATCATCAATTGAAAGATTCAAGCCTCACGCAATTATAAGAAGAATCATTCCTCATAAGTTGTGTCAAAACACTCTAAGAATCTAAATCCACAACCCATGTTTTTTACTTCTTAGGCGTTTCTTTATAACCCAAAACAACCCAAAAAAAAGTAATTTCTCATAATCCTCTAAAATCTAGCCTAATGCTCCAAGTTTCAATTTAGCCACTTGGATTGCGGCAAGAACACAATCTTAGTTTTGGCAAAATAGTAAATTTTCAACTTTAAAGTGAACAAAGGAAAGAACATACTTATTAATAGTGAATAGCACACCAAAATAAAATGTTCTAGTAGAATCATAGCTTGTAATGCATGGCACAATGTGCACTGTTTTAAATATAACCAAAAAATAAAAAAATTATGGATATTAGATTGAACCAGAGTAGATAAATAAAGATAAAATAAAAAACAAACAAAAAAATTTTGAGTCAAATAGAACAAAAAGATGAAAGAGTAAAAATAAAAGTAATAATGAACTCAAAGTCAAGTGGCATGTATCGACTAAGAGGAGCTTCATTGTTCAAGGTTTGGAAGAGGATAACATTCAAACTTCGAAGATGAAGAGGAGTTCATGGAGCCACATGGTTTAGCTTAGTCCACTACGTGAGAGATTTGCATTCACAACCCCTTCCGAACATTTTTGAAGACAAAAAAGAGTATTTGAGCAGCAATTTATCATTTCTATTTGTATTTCCATCATCACTCTCCGTGCCCGCTCGTTACAACTCGTTACCTAAAAGATTTGTGCCCTCTCCCTCTTGATAGTTTCTATGTGTTCATGAGAGACCAAATCTAGGTTGCAAAGGTTAAGGAGTGAGAGATAAAACCCTGATAAAAATAAAATAATATTAAAATTAAAATAATAAATGAAATATAATAAATGTATTAAAGCAGATAAATTAAATAACACATGTTATAAGGGCAATGGGTTATGCACCATGATGCATTAATAGCGCATATAACACAGGTTATTTTTACTTCTCATATAAAACCCAAAATTTTCATAAGGTAAAACAAAATTTTGCCCCAAAAAATATACTTCACTTTTTGCATATTCCAAAATTCATCAAAAGCATTTTTATTTAAATACAACATTTCATTTCAATCTTGTGGGATCCGAAAATTTGCGCCTTGACCTCCCCTGCTTTCAGGGGAGTTTTAACAGATTCAGTTCCGGGATAAATTTTCAGAAGGCACATGGTTTGTAGATAAGACACTACCCAGAGATTTCGCCCTCATTTTGCGAGGACTTTATGATCTGAGTTCTGGTTTCCTATAGGCGCAAGTCCCTATAATTAATTACCCCTCTCGATAATGAGAGATAACTTTCGATTAAGGCTAGTCGTCAATCAGATACATAGAGAACATGTGTTATCTAGTGTATAGTAGCAGCATTGGGGTTTGGGTATTGAGAGTTTGATATTTAAAATTGAAAATTTCACCATCTTGTATTGAAAGTGGATGGTGAGGGAATGGATGATAGATCCGATCAAGACCTCATGATTCTGTCATCCCTAGCCATCGTGGTCCCTGGTGTACTTAGTCAAAGGAGGTAGTCAACCCAACTGACAAAAGTATCCTTATCGGTCGCCATGGGTTGCGTCGTCCAAGAGTACCTTGTAGACCTGGGGGTGTATTTCTCTAAGAGGACAAATTTGAATCCACCTTAGCTAACAGAGGGCTTTGTGCCCTATCAATTATATCTTATTGATTTATTCCCTCGCTCGCTAATAAAAGTGATCATGCAAATTTGTCTTCATGAAATATAAGTACATGTGACAGCTTTTATTAATGAGCTAGAAAATTTATTATATATAAAAAGAAAATTAAGTACCCGCTACTGCTTTTCTTTTAAGGCGGGAAAATGTTGTGTTTTTAAAAAGTACTTAAATTAAAATCTACCTAAACTTCTAAATCAACAAAAAAATAAAGCACAGGAGACATCCTATATCCCTAACACTAAAAGCAAAAATGAAAGAAAATCCATAGCATAACAGAATACAACTTACAATAAACTTGTAAGGAAATTAATTCTTCACCAATAGGTATTAGCCAAACTTCTTTCTCTTAGCTCTTGACTTGCACACACCTAAACTCCCTAGCAACACTCTTTGTAGAAAGGAAGTGTAAAGAATGAACCGAGCATCCCTCCTATTTATAAAATAAAAGTCAAATTATTTGCGGGCCTCGCCAGCCTAGGATCCTTTTTCCAAAAGACAGGGAAGGTATGCATGAGGGCCCCACCAGCTTAGGATTCATGTTTAAAATATGTTAAGATGTCATTTCGAGGCTCTAGCTTTGGATTCCTCGAATATTCACTGACGGGTGAAATACGAGCGTAAATGCAGCTGAATACGGGCAGTAATTATCTTAAAAAAGGCAGAAATATTTAAAATTAAAATAAACTACCAAATACTTAAAGCAAAACTTATCCATCCACTACAACGGTTTGCCCAGGTTGACAAATTCAAATATCACTTCAACTCACAAAGAGCTAATGTCTGGTCGAGAATATCACTAGCTATGATTCATTCTCAAATAGTTTATTACCAATAAGAACATGGCACGTGATCTCTAACTGGTGATTTTGCCACCAAATAGCACCGCAGGTAAACGGTTATGACCGGGACCCTCTAAACCAGATGGTTTGCCGCCAAATGATACCACTAAATTACGATCATGGCCAGAGCCCGTATGTTACCCAATGACACTAAATCTTTAAGATATAAATCAATATAATACAATCAATAGGGCACAAAGCCCTTTGTTAGTTAAAGTGGATTCAAATATATCCCCTTAGATAAATACTCCCCTATGCCTACAAAGTATCCTTGGACGATGCAACACATGGTTGCCAACAAGGATCCTTATGTCAGGTTTGGTCGACTACCTCCTCTGACTAAGTAGATCAGGACCACAATGGTCTGGGAAGACGAAACCATGGGATTTTGGTCGGGTCCATCATCTATTCCTGCACCATCTGCTTTAAGTGCAAGACAGTGAAATTTTTAATTTTAAATATCAGACTTCTAAGCACCTAAACCCATGCTGCTACTATATGTCGGATACATGTATCTCTGCGTATATGTTTTAACGACTAGCCTTAACCGAAAGTTCTCTCTCATTATCGAGAGGGGTAATTAACCATAGGGGCTTGCGCCTATAGGAAATCAGAACTCAAATCATAAAGAACTCGTAAAATGAGGGTGAAATTTATGGGTAGTGTCTTATCTACAACCTAATTTGCCTTCTGAAAATTTACCCCATAACTTAATCTATTAAAACTCCCCCGAAAGCAAGAGAGGTCGGGGCACAAAATTTTTAAGCCTATAGATCTTTTAAATATATAAGAGCCCAATTTATTCATATAATTAAATTATCCCAAGTTTATATTTTAATTTAACTGAACATCTTATTAATCTACTATAACAAAACTTTATTAATCTACTGTAGCAAAACTGAGGTGGTATCATTTTTAAGCCTATAGAATGAGGTGGTGTACATATAAGGAAATTATATATATAAATGTTTATAACCCTAAGGCTTTAACTATGTTCCATCAATAAACTTACTTATCTAATTTCTCCCGTAATTAAGAGGAGCATTGTAAAACTTGAATTGATCTAGTATGTGCAACATTTGACTCAATTTTAAAATACCTTAAAATATCAACTTTTACAAAATTCAATAAATATAATGTCATTGTGTTCTACTTATCAAATGGAGCAATTTGAAATAGGAGTGTCAATTTTTGACACGACCCGAAACCCGACCCAGACCTGACCCAAAAAAATTCGGGTTCGAGTTGACCCGGTTAGCAAAAAGGTCGGGTACGGGATCAGATTTTTGACCCGTTTCAAAAACAGGTCAGGTTCGTGTTGACCCGGCAACCCGAAATCAAATCGCCAATGATCCGAAAGTCAAAATCCCGAGATTTAAATCCACCCGCACTCGCGTAGTCCCGCGGACTCCGCCCGCTGTCGCGCGCTCGCTAGTTCGCTTGCTGCTGCGCGCGACTCTGCTCGCACTAGCGCAATTCCAACTCCCATGGACTCCGCCAGCACTCGCGCTGTCCAGCGGACTCCGCCTGCTGCCGGCCTGCTGCGTGGTCCCGCGAACTCTGCTCGCTGCTGCACGCGACTCCGCTCGCACTCGCGCCTCGCGGTCCTGCGGACTTACTAAATTCGCGCGGGTCGGGTCTGGGTTGAAATGTTCGACCCGTTTGCAAAAACGGGTTGGGTCAACCCAGCAACCCGCGCGTGTTGGGTCTGGGTTGAAATGTCCGACCCGTTTGCAAAAACGGGTCCGATTTGGGTTGACCCGTTTAGATCCGAGTCAACTCGGGTTCGACCCGAACCCGAACCCAACCAGTCAACCCGATTTGACACCCCTAATTTGAAATATGTCTAATTGTGAAGAAATGGATGTTAGGGAATTAAATCTCCCAAGTTAAAAAAATCTATTACCACTTGAGAAAAATACTGTAGCAAGGTTAATAAAGAATTCCGCCAAGGCACTTCTAAAGACATTTTTAAAGATATGCATTTGTTGATGGAAGGGCCGTTTAAGAAATCAACATTGGATTGGTGATTTTGCCCCCTAAAATTATAAGCCGTTTAATCAACCGAAACATTATTTTTTTTTTTTTTTTTTTTTTTCTTCCCTGGTTTAGA